CCCGCCGGGAGCGCGGGCGGAGGCGCGCCCGGGGCTGCGGATCCCTCTCCTGGCGCACAGGGAAAGCACAGCCTGGCAGCGGGGAGCGGCACCCCGGCCTGGCACCCGCCTGCCTCATGCGGGAATCCAGCACCCGGCACCGCGCAGGGAACGTTGCCTCTGTCGCATCCAACCCCCCTCCGAGCGAAGGAAAGGAGCCCAGACCATTGCACCCACACGTTAGAGATTTTCATGCTCTCCTTTTGGATCTCACCCCGCTCATACCATCCTGATCTTCCTCTCCTGCCTCTGCTTACAGCAAGGAAAGGGAGGAGAACTTGCTAAAACCACTTTTCAGGACGTTTATGGTTTGCTGAATAACCATTGTACTGTCCCCCTCTTCTTTTAGGAGCTGATAATGGGGTAATAAATCACATTGCATGAGAGGACAGACAAAAAAAGGGAAAGCAGCAAGAGTTGCTTGTATCCAACTTTTTGTGAATGACAGCAATAATTTTATTAATATATAAACTCCCTCACTAGCTATGTGCCTACCCTGGCCTTGCCTCACCTCTTAGAAGCACTCACCTACTTGTACTCCTTCAAAATTCTATCAGCCATAAATTTTACATGTATTACACTTCCATGACTAAAGTGTTTCTAGTTACAAAGTTTAAACACTTCCAGAGGGCCGAAGGGACAGCATTGAAAGTTAGATGTGAGCTACTAGTAAAAAAATATCCATGCAGTGGAAAAAATTGTTCTTCAGCTGTCAGAGAGGCCTTAGAGACAGCCAGAAAAACAGGGAGCTGCTTGTACCCCCTGGCTGCTCACATGGCTTTTTTCTAAACCATGTTACAATATCAGGAACAGGTGACAAAACAGCTCTGGAACAGGGCTGGGAAACAAAGTTATTTACAGTTAGGAGTACAAACACCCCAGGAGAGTACAAAGCAGAGCTATAATTAGCGAGAAGAGCACTCAGGGTTGGTTCAGCTGCAGTCTGTGCTGGCTGACTGATCAGCGTTGATACTACACGGGAGAAGAGATTAAGCTTGTTGTGTAAATCTGGAGCTGGAATGTACAAAGTGCTCTGGGTGAAAAACACAACCATGGCCTTAAAGGAAAACAGAGGAAGAAATGAAAAATTTCCAACATGGTGCTGTGAAAAGGGAATGGCTGCAGTGGAGGAAGGGATACAACCACTCCAGCTAATGTTATAGTAGCACATCTCAACTGGGCAGGACCTTGGCAGGGGCTTTGGGGCACCTCCTTTAGAAAAACCTGTGCCAAGATGCTGTATGAAGCAAGAAGAAATGTAAAACAAAAAGATATTTTGGGGGGATAAGAGGATGAACAGATTTTTTGCAAAAAGCAGCTCTGATTTTAAAAACCCTGGCAGAGCAAGGTAAAGCACAGAAGTCATGGAAGGCCTGAGTGGGGGAGGAATTTAACAATTTGAGTGTCAGACTGACAGCCATAAAAGGCTTTATAATACAATTTCACCAAGTTAATATAAGAAAAATGTCCTTGCAATAGAGGTGTGGTGTTGATGTCAACAAATCTTTTCTTCTCACCACCGATCTCCTTGGTTCTATTTTTGCTGTGCATTGAGCTTCAACATTTCACGGTCAATGAATTTAACCTGAATTTCCACTCTTGTGCATTATTTGACTCACTAACTCAGGGAGAGGGCTAAATATCAAATAACTGTAAGTAAAAATATTCCTGAATTTCTGTCCAGTATCAGTTTCTTAATAATGATCCATTAAATCTTAAGGTTTTCATCCGTGTGCTGTCCTCTTTTTAAAATTCTGGAGTTCCAGTCTGATATGTGTAGCAATCTGTAACAATGTCATTATTGCTTAATTTCAAATCCTTCCCTCCCTTGGAAGAAATATTTTCTTACTATAGCAGCAAACTCACCTCTCAGTTCTTTGGCAGGGAGACAAAAGGAGGCTGCCTCAGGGTGATAAATGTATTTTCAGCAGCTCCTGTTAAAATTATGGCTCTATTTTTTTGTCCTCAGTTCACAAACTAAAATAACAACCCTTCTCAAAGTGCAATTAAGGATTTCATGTACACCAGGAGAACCAACAGTAGGACTTACCTACAAGAAAATAAATGCTGGAGCCAGAAAGAAGGAGCCAAAACACATTTTCTTGGTATACTTATTTTTTTAATATATTAAAAAATTACAGTTTCAATAAAGAAGTAGAAAAATAAGAAATTCTTTGGAAAGTGCTTGTGAAATACAAGCAGTTCCCCAGAAGGCATTAATTATCTGAACTACCACACATAAATGATCCAAGCATCCAGTGAACTACTGAGACAGTCCCAATCAATACACTGAAATAGAGGCTTTAAAAATGTAAAAATATACTTTCCTAAAAGGACTATCTCAAACTGGGGAAAGCCAGGTCTCAGGTACCGTTCTGGAATCCAGCTTCACTTGGGTCAGTATCATGTTCCTTCAGTGAGGGAAGAGGAAGGAAAAAAAAGAGAAAAGTCTTTTAACAACGAGGTAGAACTGTAAGATTTTTGGCTTAAGAAGATTACATGTGAAATGAGCAATGTCTTGTTAGCACAAACTGCTGCTCTGCAAATATGCTCCAAACACACTTTGAAGCATTGAATCTGCTATGAAGAATTCTTTCAGCACAGCTGTATTTCAGTGCTGGTGTCACCTCTGCACTGCAGCACTGGCCAGAGCTGTGAACACTCCTGATGACTCCCTGCTCTCACTCAGGCACCAGTAATGAACTGGATTTAGCTGCAATTACAAACTACACTTGCATGTACTAATCCCCCAATTAAAATAAATGAGAGACTTAATAAATTGAGCACTACATGTTTTATGGAGATTAACAGCCATAAGTGCTCTGGATCACACTTCACTGGTCTCATTTATTGCACAGCTAATGTCTGACATCACCTCTTGCCTGTGACAAGTGTAGCTGCCACAGGGAGTTCACTCGTCACTCCCAGGATGTCACTGCATTTCCGCACGTAAAACTCCAGGTCATCGTCAGTGCCTAAACGAGCGCCCAGGGAAGAAGGCAGGTGAGCATCACACACATCTGGAACAGCTGGCCAAAAAACCTGCTCTGAATCTCCATTTCCTCTTGGCATCCTGGGAGGTTCAGTCCCATCACCAAGCTTGGCAGACTAGCCATGATGTATTCCTGCAGCCAGTACCTGCTCATCTTCTTTAGGTGTTTGGAATAATCTTAATATTTTAACTTCAGAGCATAAAAAGGATGTGGAATTTATCAGCAAGAGTGCACAAAGCAATTTATGCACAATATAGGAAACAGCAGGCAGAAGCACAATAAAATGTCATGTAACAGACAAAATATAATGTCATGGTACATAAAGTCATGCTATTAATTTCAGTTTCTTAGATCAGGATAAAAGCAGTAGATTTTCCCAAATGAGGTCCATGCTTTAAAATGAAATATAACAAATTTCCTCTAAAAATACTGGACTTTTGCTGCAGATGTGCAAACAATCTGCTCCACTTACATTTGTTTGTGATCTCTGCAAGACGTGCTTTCTCAGAGGAAAAAGTTTCATCCAAATCAAACAGTTCCAGAGCAGGAGGAGGCAATTCTCTGAAAGCAGGTGGAAAAACCTTGAAGAGAAAAAGCAGCACGGTTGATTGCCACATATTTTTCTTACACTTTACAAATCTCTAAAATAACAGTTTTAAACCCATATTGGACTTGAAGAAAACCTTTAAAAGGTCAAAACCAACTCCAAAGCCACCAAACAAAGGGGCACCATTTGAAAATTCCATTTTTATGTTGTAAAAATAATTTAATATTTAAAAAGAGTTTAGTCACACATATGCCAGAATTATCACCCAGCATCAAAACTAGACATTTTTATTTGCAGTTTCAGCTTTGCTCCACAAGACCCAGATGATGGCTGAGAGCTGAGGAACTAAATTTGCCCTAACAGCTCACCCTGAAATCATATTGACATCAATTCTGGTCAGAGTATTTTCTGGTTCATTCAGGCACCGTGTATGTCTGAAATTTGACTTGGGTTTTTAAAAAGCAGTGAAGGAAATACCACTTTCAGTTGCACTCCTGCAGGATCCTGCAGGGTCCTCTAAAGGATCCCAGTAATGCTTTCTCAGTGGCCAGGATAAAGAAGGATGGAACAATGATGGCAAAATTCAGATACTCAGAGATTCCTGCCTTCTGAAATGAGTCTGACACCCCCATAGCTCGTGTTGTTGCTGTCAGCCCAAATATTGCTGGTAAAAGTTTGATCAGCTCCTGCTGTAACAGACCAGTGCTCCACTTTCTGCTTCCCCTGGGGATCTGGGAGATGGAGGCAGAGCAGGACAGACTGGCTCCTCCCTGGCAGCAGCTTACACCAGCACTGCTTTCTGAAATACCACATCCTGTTTTCACAAGGAAGGCTGAGCCAGCACACCACAGGACTGGGAGCAGCTACTCAATCAAAGGCCTATATTACAAGGATTTTGTTTTGGTACCACACACTTCATTTTGAAGCTCTTTTAATAAATTAGAAGTGTAAATAAGTGCTCTTTCCCAAAATATGGTCCCTGCAGTGTAGTCAACTCCCAAGTGATTAATTATTACTACAGCATTTCTCATTATTTCTTTTACAGAACTATGGAAATGACACAGAGTCTTTGCATGAAACAAATGACATAGAGGCTCATTAAAATTGGAAAAGATTATCAAGTCCAAGCTTCATGGAGAAGGGTTCTCCCTGTACAGGCAAGAAAATTACTCACAGCTGGCTGGAGGACAGGTAGTGGAGTCTCAAATTCAGGCTGAATGAGTTGGAGGGGTTCATGTTTCACATTCAGCTCTTCATAAGCTCTGTAGCACAGAAAAATTCAAAGTATGAGGGAAAAAAAATGATACCACATCTATTTCCACTAGCAAGCCATAGAGATGGATTTTTGTGAACACACCAGCATCGAAGTTTTGCACTGTAACAGCACAAAAAATGGAATGTTGTAGTTGGTTTAGTTTCACTGATTTGAGTTTCCCCATTTTATAAGGACCTCAGATAATTACAGATAAGTAATAAATAATTTCTACAGTGAGAAAATTAAAGTTGTGACAGAGGAAGATAATGATAGGTAGATATATAAGATGATGAAAAAAAAATAATCATAATTCAATTCTACAATCCACTTTTAGCAGAATGAACATGGATGCAAAAAAGTGACCCAGAACAAAACAAGCAGATCTGGGATTTCAAAAACGTTTGTAAGGAAGACAATAAACTAAAGTTATTTTTAAAAATAGCATTTGTTATGGTGTCAAGGGAGATCCTCCTGTGAATTCCCAATTAGTGAAAATACAAGAAATACAGAGTAAGAAGAAAGAGTGTTCCCAGCAGAGTGGAGTTTCATGGAATCTGTGTTAAGCTGCCATACTCAGTGTGTTCAGACATGATCTGGGTAACAAGGGAGTTATGGCAGACAGAGCTGATAGTGACACAAACTGGTAAAACTGAGCAGCTGATAAACCTCAAAACACAATTATTGGGAAATGCAAAGGTGACTGAAATGCAGCTTTCAGTAAATGTCAAGTAATTAAAAAGTGGAAAAACGAGCAGCTCTCAGGTATCACTCCAGAAAGTGCCCAACTTCACTGCAGACAGTTTTCTAAATATCAGATCAATGAATCTCATGTAGTCAGGAAAAAAAAAAAGGAGAAAAGAAGGCCAGAAACTACAGCTAAGACAAGAAGCAAGAAGAAAACATCATTGCCACACTGTACAAATCTATCTTCTGGTATAACCGTATTCAAAATGCTGCCTACCGCTCAGTCCTTCCTGCTCTTAAGGAGACATAGTTAAGCACAAATAGAAAATGTAGAACGCTGAATGGAATAAATAAATAATAAGAAAATTACAGCTGCTGACTTGATAACTGAAGGGAGGGCAGTTGTGTCCAGCTGATAGAGGGACGTATCAAACAGCTTTGTGAAGTCTCTTGGGTTCTCCTCTCCTTCCTGCAGGCAGACCCGCAGCTGCTCGGAGAGCGCGGCTGTGTCTGGGAGCACGGTGTAATCTGAAATCTGGGCACACAGATACACATCCCTGTCATCTGAATTGGTCAACCCACACCCATCGTCTCTTTCTACCTTATACCTCACCTAAAATCTCACTTAGAAATAATTATTTCACTCTACCAGTTATGGCCCTTTGCAGTGCAGGCAGCTCACTAGATCAGTCATCTGCTAATTCTTCTCTCAGCTGTAAAGTCACCCAACACATGCATGCTTTATTTGGGTTTCTGATAATTCTTAAAAATTAAAACAGCCAGCTTACTAAGCAACTGTGCAAAACTGTTGGTTTTTTATGCACACAGAATATACAGCTTTGTCACATAAAGGTATTTCCAAATAAAAACTGCATTTGTATACAAATAAAACTGACACACAGGTCACACTCATACAGAAAATCTGCCTTTCCTTCCTGCATGTTCCTCTTGTCTGAGGGCTCAGAGTGAAGTGCAAACTCCCTACACTGGAGCAGTCCATCTCATAAACATGGGCAAATTGGAAAGAGACTTTCACAAATTATATCAGATAATGAAAAGCAATCTAAGGCTGAAAGGTACCATTAATTTTTACACCTAAGCCATCTGTCTACTCAATCCTAGACCATGAAAGAAGGTTCTGCAACAACAGCAGCACACATCTTGCTGTTAACCACGCTGTGCTAAACACACGGTGTACCAAGACCAGTGCTGCCAGATCCTACTGTTCTTTACCTCCTCCTGATGGATCTCTCTTACCTCAGGGTCCTCCATATCCATCTGGTTTAAGTGGATATCTGATGTTGTGAGCCACTGGAAAAGCACATCCTGGGGAAGGGCAAAACTCAATTACTTTCAGGAGGACACAAGTAATCTCATACTATGCTTAAATATTCATTAAATATATTAACTAACATACTACAAAAAATACTAAAAATAAGATAATAAATCAAAGACTATTTGTTAGGATTGGCTTAGACTCCCCATACTGAATCCACTTCATAGCTGTCTTGCTCTAAAATGAAGCTGAGCCTGGAGAGCTTTGCAAATGTTGTGAAGATCCAACAGGGTGTTTTTAAAGGAAAAAAAACCAAAAAAACAACTCAAAAAAAACTCCAACTTACCATGATCTTACCATTTTCTTCTTTATCTAAATACTGGTCATTGAACATGTGGGAAGATCCCAGGGCTGCCATCTTTCCACCTTTATTCTACCAATAAAGAATACAATATAGCAAAAATTCCTTCCAAATCACAGTTTTAGAGGCAACTGTTATTGCAATGCATTACTTGTCTACATAGTAAAAAACTGTGTTAACTTGTTCACATTTATTAACAATATCAATCTTGTGCTTGTAACTCTTTACTACTAAATTTCTGAATTTATTTTTATAAAGTAACAGGGCTGGATGAGTAAAACAACATAGGAAAAATCCACTGGTTCCAAGGTGAGAGGCCTCTTCTTTAAATCAATATGTGCTCACAAAGCTAAGGATAATCTTATTTAATAAATTAATACCGAAACAGTGGAAAAAAACCTGAAATTTTGAAGAATTGAAGCTATCCACCAGTCAACCAAAAAATATATAATCTTTGCTGTCCACATCATTAATTCTCCTCTGAAATCCATGCAAAGAAGTTTACCATAAAAAAAGTCAGGAGCCACTAGGCTCATCTGGAGTTTGCAGATGCATCAAAAACTGAGTGGGTTGGTAAGTATCCCCAAAAGATCCACTCACAATTTTTGTGTGGGGCAGGGGAATGCAGGGAGTGCCCCAGGCAACTCATACCTCATGCTGATAGAAAGCCAGGATAGGCCTGTTGAGGGGGAAGCACACAGACCCTGTGGACAGAATTGCCACTGCTGGCTTCATCACATTCAGTGTGGCTCCAAAAGGGTAAACAAAGCTGAGGGCTCTGCAGAAAATACAGAAATTCCATAAGCACCTGCATGCACCAGGCAGGCTGCACAGATTCACAGAACTCAAACTGAAACCCACAGACTAGAGGCAAAAAAAAGATCTGGTCATGAGAACAGTAATGCCTTTCCAAATTTATCCCTCCTGCTCCTTCAGAGGTTACCAAAACCTCTACTAAACAGATTCTCCTTTCCAAATATAACCTAAGAAGCATAAGAACATAAGAAATGCATTAGAAAATCTCACCATAAGCACAGTGCACTGCTGCTAATCACAAACCTGACAATTCTGAGGTCTTCTACATATTTTCACATCAGTTTCCTCAGAGAAAACACTTACTGTGAGTCACGGCCCCTTCCGTCTTCATCTGTTGTATCAAGCACTGTTTTCTTTGCAGCTTCACTGATTCCCCTATGAGATATGGAAAAACAAACCTTACTGAAAACAATCCAGGTTACAAGACTAATCTGTGAAGATTCACATACCCCAAATATACCTGTTCAAAACTCCATCAGAGATTAGTGCTTCTTTTGGGTGGTAGTACTTGTAATACACATTTCGTACTACAGCATCTTAAAAAAAGAAAAAAATACAGAAATTTACATCAGCTGATCAGTGTGTTAGATTTAATAAACAAAAATCAGTTTAGCTCTTGGATTCCCCAGGTGTTTGCTTCTAACACCACAAAGGTGGCATTTGGCTACTAAAAGAATTGAAATCAGCCCTCACTACTGTTTCCTTTTGGACAGAATAGATTTAGGATAGGTATATGTTTGCAAATTCAAATAAAAATACAAAAAGTTAAGCACATCACCACCTTCTGCAAAGCAAGAGACAAAAAGATGATCCAGTTAAAAGTCTGTATCAACTTTTACAACTCTATTTTTTATACATCTTCCAAACACTTGAAGAATTAAATCTTATTGATGCAAAAAAAGGGCAGTCTAGAAAAGCCACCAAAAAACCTCAAATATTTTATGTACACTGAGACACACTTGCCTTGGGTTGTTGGGGTTTTTTTCACACTGGCAGCACAAAACTAATGAATGATATTCTATTGGTCTGCTAAAGAAAAGTGCCACTTCTTATTCAGGGTGAGCATTAAGTGATTCAATCCTTTAAAATGTGTGGAAAATGTTTTAAATTAAGGGCTTTTTAACCAAGAAATTTCCCTAGATTATTTTTTTTAGTAAATTTAAACTAACAACTACAGCAAAGGAATGGAAATGGCTAAGCTGTCCATGGACTCTGTCCATGGAAAGCTTTTGCTGTGCTCCAATATCACCTTACATTGTGCATGCAGATTTAAAGAAAAAAAATCTTTTAGATCAAAAGATACTTTGTGAGAAAGATCTTGTATCCACAAAGGCTGAACCTGCTCTTTTAATTTTGCTGCAAATTGATGACTAAAGGTAGCAGTGAGCCCCATTACCATTATTGAAAATGATTCCATATTCTTCTAACAAAAAGTTAATATTTGTGCCATTCCGGGACTCTCCACCTTCTCTCAGCATCACCAGGATAGCTCCACCATCCTCCAGGAATTTCTTCAGAACAGAAAACTAGAAATCAACAAAGATACAGATAAAAAAACAAAAGCAAACATGAGAAGCTACACACAAAACTGCACACAGTTACACTGAGATGAGGGGAGGGAAAAAATTTTGACTACTTGCATTTAACTTGATCCTATAAGAAAAACATTCAAATTCCAATTTATATGAATTAATTTAAAGCAGCATTACAGCAAAGTCCTCTGTCTTGTTCTTTTCTACTTAAGCAAATTTTAAAGCATAATTAACTTGAAAACAATTATTGACTTCTTACCTCATCAGCACTGAATTTCTCTCTTGGTCCTGCTGTAATCCACAATTTCACCCCGAACAGTCTCTCAGATGTGATCTCATCTTTTAAGCTATGAATAAATTAATAAATACATGCTTTATTCTTGGATATAGTCCTGAACCACAACTTTTTCCTTTTGTTTTTTTCTTTTTATATAGGACTGGCAAATGAACACAAAGCAAATCACTTCAGTCACTTTGCATCCTTTTATCTAGGTTTAAAGTTGACAGCTTGAGCAAAAATAATCCTTAGAAATGTCAACCAGCTAAATAGAAACGCTCCTCTGACAAGGCACTGTGGCAGATCCAGCCAGAACTGCTGCAAACTGTCACAGCTGCTATTAAACTTTACACCTGAGGAGCTTCCGAATATTTTTCTTTCTTTTCTTTTTGGTCTGGCCACATTTCATAGAACGAGTTGGAAGGGATGCACTGGGATCATGTAGCCCAGCCCTGGCCCTGCCCAGACCCCCCAACAACCCCACCCTGGGCATCCCTGGCAGCGCTGTCCAAACGCTCCTGGAGCTCTGGCAGCCTCGGGGCCGTGCCCATTCCCTGGGGAGCCTGGCTCCATGCCGTGACATTTTTGCAGCGGTCACCTCAACAGTACCATCTACATGAGCCCTGCTTTCTTTTTGTCCCAAACTCCAAACCGAGCCAGATTCACAAATCTGCATGAGGAGCTTCATCCTTACAACTTGCACTCCATCTCCACAGGTGAGCTGGAGCTCCGAAGAACCACGCACAGCATCCCGCAGCGGCAGAAGATGCAACAGGGCGCAATCAAGGCGACAGAGCGACCTCAGCTCACAAGAGACATCCCCAAAGGCCACTCGGGTACCACACACCCCCGCCGGGGCCTCTCCGCGCCCCGAGCGCCGCCCCTCACCTCAGAACCTTCCAGCTGCCGCGCAGCCTCTTCCGCAGGGCCTTGTAGCCGCCGGCCGGCGTGAAGCTCTCGCCCTTGGAGGCGTTGAACACTATGGCATTGCGCGGGCCGCTCTCCATAGGCTCCCCCGGGGCTGCCGGAGGGCTCTGGGGAGCAGCGGGCAAGCGCCAGCGCTCCGGCCGCCCGCGGGTCCCCACCGCGTCCCCGCCGTGCCGCC